AGGCTCTGAAAAGCTGCCACAGCACCCAGGCTGCAGAGGCCAACTCCGGATTCCTGGCGAGCTGAGGCCCTGGGTTTTAAATGCCATTTCTGAGTGCTCCTCTAAGCTTCCCAACTCCGCTCGGCCCAGACCAAAGACAGCCAATGCTTTCTAGGTACCACCGCCTTCCTGATCAAGCGATCAAACAGGAGGTGTTTAGAGGTGACAGTGTGGCCTGAGCCTCTCTAGGGGGCCTGGTGATACTCAGTAGGGACTGGAAGAGAAGGGGTGGAGATGGAGGGGGGGAGGAAAGCTACCCGGTCAATCTCAGGACACCCCCAACAAAGACACTGTGACAGATATGCGTGTGGCAACACTCCAGTGTTACTTCAGGGACACTGCCAAGATAAGAAGTTTTTTTTTTTTTTAATATTTTTATTTATTTCTAGGAGAGAGAGACAGAGCGAGCAGGGGAGGGTCAGAGAGAGAGGGAGACACAGACTCTGAAATAGGCTCCAGGCTCTGAGCTGGCAGTCAGCACAGAGCCCGACGCGGGGCTCGAACCCACGAACCGTGAGATCACGACCCAAGCGAAAGTCAGACGCTTAACCGATTAAGCCACCCAGGCGCCCCCAAGATAAGAAGCTTTAACTCATGCAGAGAGGAGCAGAGGACATGGGCCATGCCACTGTGCAGGGCGAGATGCTAATGGCTGGCAATGCTCATTCATTCAATTCAAGGAACTGAGCACCCTCATTCTCAGAGGGAATCTGCAAGACCCACAGACACGCACGCCGGGCCCTCTGTTAACCTCGCTGATGGCTCCCACGTCCCCTGGGCGTCTAGGCCAGAGAAATGAGGAACTTAATGGGAATAAGTTCAACACTGCGAGCCTGCTGGTTTCTAAAAGCCTTCCCAGGACAAGGAGAGCCCATTCACTGCTCTCCTAGCATCCTGTGCTTTCTCCTGACATGGAAGGGCTCTCAGGCAGTGACTTCCCACTGTTCAGAACTGATGAGTAAAATCCAAACTCCTCACCGTGGTCACAGATGCGACCCCGTCAACTCCTCGCTCACCACGCTCTGGTCCCACTGGGTTTATCACTCCTGCTGTCCTTGCTGCCTGTCATCTGGGTCGCCATTCAAAGTCACTTCCGGAGAGCCAGCTCGAGTTCTGGTCCTGACCCTGCTCCCGGTCATCTCCATCTTAGTGTCCTGTTTCATTCTCCCTGTATCTCTTTTCACCATCGTGCACTATCTTGTCCACCTCGTACTGTCTCTCCCGCCAGAATACACACTCCACTGGACCATGCACCTTGGCCATCTTGTTCTTGGCTATATCCCCAGCACCTGCAATGGTGCCCGGACATAACAGCTGTTCAATAAGTCATTCAATTTAACAGATATTTACTGAGTGCCTGGCAAGTTTATGTACTGGACTACAATAGTAGACCAAAAAAAAAAAAAAAAGGGACAAAATCTCTGCCCTCAAAGAGCTTAAATTCTGGTGGCAGAGAAGAAACAGATAAATCAGTAACAGTGAAATGGTAACCACTACTTCAATCAAGCACATACGAAGTGCTCAGTGCTGTTCTATAGGTATCGTGCCCTGGGGCAGCTGGGTGACTTACTTGGTTAAGCGTTTGACTCTTGATTTCAGCTCAGGTCATGATCTCACGGTTCAGGGGTTCAAGTCCCGTGTCCCGCATTCAAGTCCCGTGTCCCGCGTTCAAGTCCTACATTAGCGGTGCGAAGCCTGTTTGGGATCCTCTCTCTCCTTCTCTCCGTGCCTCTCCCCCACTCGTGCTCTCCCTCTCTCTCAAAAAATAAATAAATAAACTCTTAAAAAAAAAAAACATGGGGGGGGCACCTGGGTGGCTCAGTCATTTGAGCTGAGTTTGGCACAGGTCATGATCTCACGGTTTGTGAGTTCAAACCCTGCGCTGGCCTCTGTGCTGACAGCTCAGAGCCTGGAGCCTGCTTCTGATTAGGTGTCTCCCTCTCTCTCTCTGCCCCTCCCCGCTCACACACTGTCTCTCTAAAAAATAAACATTAAAAAAAGTTGTTAATAAAATATAATAAAAAAATTTAAAAAAACACAATAGATATCACCTGATTTAATCCTCCCAACAACTCCCTGAAGTATTGTTATTTTACAGATGGGGAAACTGAGGCACAGAGCGGTTACATGGCTTGCTGCAGATCGCGCAGTTCATAGCGAAAGAAGCCAGGATCCAAACCCAGATGGTCTCGGTACGAAGTCCATGCTCTAATTAAGAGCTACACTTCATATTTGCTGAGTGTCGAATAACTACTTGGTCAGCACCCTCCACAGCTGTTCCCTGTAGGCAGGGCTGGAGAGAGAGCAGATTCATCAGTTAAGGGCTGCCCTGTTCTGTGAGCTCAGTGAGACGGGCACTGCTGGCTGCCCCTTTCCTGCACCCTGGATGAGGAGGGATCTGCAGGGAAGTGCGGTCTGATGTCAAGACAGGGACCGGATTTCCGGGTCCTGGTTTTAGGTGCTGAGACACCCAGGCAAGTCAACCAATCTTGGATGAGTTTACTTTTCGTGTGGGGCACTGATTTTGACGTTGTGAGGGATGCAAAGACGAATCCAGCAGCGATCCTAGCCTCAGAAAGCTTAGAGTCCTGCAGGACACTTGGGACTGAAATAGAGGTGGACAGTGACGGTCGCCATTAAAAAATGTACAAACTGCTATGGGATTTCAAGAGTTACCTAGCCTCTAGGGGCTATAGGTACCCAAGCAGGAAAGGAGCGGGGCTGGCTTACACAGCTCCCACGGTCCTCTGGCTCGGACATGTTCTGACAGCACAGATTTGGAGCAGCAGAGAGATCAGGTTTTATTCTGGTTAATAGTTCAAGTGCATGGCCACTGAGTTGCTCTCATCTACCACGAGAACAGTCCCAATCTCCCTGAGCGACCTCTTAGAGCATCGGCAAGGTAATGATAATGCTCCCATTTAAATAATGCAGCCGAATTGGGAACGAAGCCCGGTGGTACAGCCTCCTCCACCTCTAACTGGGTTTTAAACCCACAAACCCTCTTCTGTCAAGAAGGCGGCGATCCCTCTGTGAGCATGCCGTTATAATGTGGAGAATGCTCCCTCCTCACCTCGTTCACATCCGTATCCCTGGAGTCTAGCACAGTAGCTGGCTCACAACAGGTGCTGAGTAAGGTTTGCCGAGCCAAACCTGAGTATAATCCAAAAATTATCTGCTAGATGTGTAATTCTGAATCGGTGTTCCCTGAAGTTTTGCTTTACAGCTCTCAGCTCTCCTGGGGAGGGGGCGGGGAGGAGACTGGTTCCACCCTTCACCTTTACTGCTACGATCCTGGCGCCCCCAGCCACCATTATCTCCTGCCCGGAAGCTGCAGCAGCCTACCTCCCAATCAGTATGCCTGCTTCTACCTCTGCAGCTCACAATCCGATCGCCATATAGCAGCCAGAATGATCTTGGAAAACTTAGATCGTATCACCTCTCTGCTTAGAATCCTCTAATAGCTTCTAACTGCACGTGGAATAAAATCCAAACTGGTTCTTCTACACTTAACACCACTGAAATTATTTTGTCTGTTGATTTGTTTACCCCCTCCTCTTTAGAACGTCGGCGATGGGAGGGCAGGGACTATGTCTATTTCCACCCCTGTAGCCCCATGTATTGTCATGATGCCTGTTATATAGGAACACTCACTACTGAACGGATGAATCCACATCCTACAGAGGCAACTTGTGTTTACAAGGCCCACTAACTCCATCGGGAAACCACGAAAGACACACTGGCATTCAACAGCTTGCACCTTTTTTTTTTTTTTAAATGATTCAAAGTCCTGCTTTAAGTCAGAGAAAACTGGTATCTCTGGACACTTCAATGGCCCAAAAGATGAGTATCGCTTAGGGTCTAAAGTCAGGAACCAGAGCCCAGTAGTTGTAGCAGGGAGCTAAGAGGCGAGGCAGTTGGGAACAAAACCTCAGGACAAACTCTGACTTGCCTCCAGGTCCCTTCCTGACACACCCTGTGCCTCAATTTACCCAGCCGTCGGCCAGGCACACTTCCCTAAGTTCTGTGAGTGACAGGAGGCAAAATAATTAACAGCCAGAGCATGCTTAGATTCTCAGATAGGAGGTGCTGCAAGCCACAGATCTCATTATTCATACAACTTGATTTGCTGCCAACACAAGCCTCCTCGGCCTTCCCAGGGGCTAAGCCCGCAGCGGGCACTGCTCAGACAAGTTCAGCACACAAGAGAGAGGGAGGCGTGTGGGGCCTAACAGAGGTCGGGTGTCCAGATCTACCTAGGTGCCTCGGTTACCCGGGTCCAAGAATAAGGAAGGTGGTTGGGTGGGGGTGATGAAAAGGAGGTGACAAGTGCAGTCTGGGGCTCCCAGTGGTTCATTTTGCGGGCTCAAGTACAGGCACCCGCCAGACAGGTGAAGCGTGCGCCTACACTGTGCGCCTTCCAGAAACACTGCCCGGGAGAGGGGGAATCGGGAACCGGCTCAGTCACACGAGAGGGAGACAGGAAGGGCGGCCCAGGGGCCAGACCTCGGCAGCATTTAGTTTGGGGAAATATGGAGGGGCTCTCTATACAGGGGATCGGGATGCTGAGCGTGGGGAGCAGAGAAGGGGAGGGTCGGGAGGGCGCGGGACCCGAGTGCTGACAGCCGGTGAGAAACCACGCCGTCGCGGTGGGGTGAACGACAGAGTGGGTGGCTCGGACACCTGTGGAGGCGACCCCTGGGCGGAGGTGACGACGGCTGGAGGGTGGTCTGCGGCGGGGTCGCGGGCGGCGAGCGGCGGGGAGGCAGCGGCGACCCGGCGGGGCGAGGAGGCCGGGCCCAGACCAGGGCGCCGCGCCGGGGGCCAGCCGGTGGGGTCCGAGAGGGGTCGGGGGCGCCCTCCGCGGCCCCTCCCCGGGAGACAAAGGGCCGGCGACTCCCCCGAGCCCCGGCGCGGCGCGGGCCCGGGCGCTGCGGGCGCGGGCCGGCCTCGGCGCTTACCTGGGCCGCCCGACCCGGCCGGGCCGGCGGGGGCTGCGGGTCCGTGCACGGCGCGCGGCGGCCTGTTCCGGGGCGCGCTCAGCCGGAGCAGCCGCGGCGGCAGCAGCAGCAGCAGCAGGAGCAGCGGCAGCGGCAGCAGCAGCAGCGGGAGCGGCCGCCTGAGCCTCCGCCTCCCGCTCCGTGAGTCACCGCGGCGGGGAGGGAGGGAGGCGCCAGGCCGCCGGGGGAGGGACCGGCGGAGGGGGCGGCATCTGGCTCCTCACGGGCAGCAGAGGCGCGGCCACCGCAACGCCCCGGGGGGGGGGAGGGGGCAGGGCCGGGCGCCGGGGGCGGGGCCGGAGGCGGGGCGGGGCTCCGGGGTGTGCGAACACGCTCAGTGGTTAAATCGGCCCGTGGGGCGGGACCTCCCGCGTACGGGGACGAGGGGGGGCGCGCGCGGGGACGCTCATTGGGCTTCTCGGGAGGAGGGTGGGGCCAGGGATTCTGGGGCGGGGCCACGGGGTGGGCGGGTGGAACTGGGTCTAGGGTAGTGGCCGAGCTCCTCTCAGAGCAAAGGGGTGGAGCCGAGCGGGGGCGGGGAGGCTGGGCAAGGGTGGGGGGCGGGGACTCGGAGGAGGAGGTGGCCTGAGGGGCGGAGCCCGGGTTAAGGATGGAGCTGGCTCTGCGGTAAAGCCGCTGTGTCTGTCCCTGGCCGCTCCGGGAGCACAGTGATCCCGTAAAAATAATGGCCTCTCCCACACACGAGTCTGTGTTTAAAAATGGGAGCGGTCGGACGGGGCTGAATCCTCGGGGAGGCTGGTTTCTTCAGGACCCCTGAAAAATCTGAAACGGACGAGGTTGCAAAACATTCAGAGGCGTGGTCTTCCTGCGCTGTGGAACTGGGAACATTGCTTGCTACCTTGGAGGAAGCTAGGCCCGCTCTTGAATTGGAGGCCTGTCTAACCTGGGATCTACGGAGCCCGGAAGGCCCAGGAATGGGCCTCCGTGAGTCCGTTAAACTTAAAATATCATGTGTCTTGGCAGGGAGTACATTTTTCTGGGGAGAAAGGGTCCGTGATGAAAATGTTTCTATTAGAAAGTCTGACTCTAGCTGCTAGATGGCTCAGCCTGGAGAAGAGTACAGGGAACAACAGCCCATTTTTAGGCAAAATGCAAATTGCTTTGAACGCCCACTTTCCTTTTAAAGGGGCGCGTGTCTTTAAGAGTGTTCTCGTTTTGAACATTTTCACTTTTTTTTTAAGGCTTATTTTATTTGGGGAAGGGGGCAGAGAGAGAGGAGGACACAGAATCGGAAGCAGGCTCCAGGCTCTGAGCTGTGCTGTCAGCAGGACTCTGATTCCAAAACCCTGAGATCACGACCTGAGCCTGTCAGGTGCTTAACCGACTGAGACACCCAGGCGCCCCTGATTTTCAACATTTTTAACAGTTACATAGTGTGGCACTAACCCCACTTTAGAAGCCTTGCTTTCCCAGCTTTTCCTTTCGCCTTTTAGAAAAGAGAATTCCCATCTTCTGCTGTGCCCCACACATTTCTTTCCCGGCCCTATGCGAGAGGGATATGCGATAATATTTTGTTTTCTCTAGTGTATCTATATTCTGTAATGTCCATATTACTCTTTTGACTTAATAACTATTTTAGTTACAGTTGAGGAATATTTTAATTTTATCAAAAGTCATGAGATTATGAACTCAAAAGCCAGAAATAGGTCTTAGTCATGTCTGTGTCCCCTTTAGTGTCCCAGCCACCATGCCCGTGGCAAGGGTTCAACCAATATTTGCCAATACAGTGTACCACCTGATCCTTCAAGTTTCCCAGAGCACACCAATGGGGGGGAAGTGCACACTCAACTTATTTTTATCATAAATATTGATGTTTCAACAAATGAATTAAAACTGAACAAATTGCTTGGTATTCAAGACACAATGTATAAATGTTACTTTTTTTTTTTCTTTAAGAGACATGCTTAAGGGGGCACCTGGGTGGCTCTGTTGGTTAAGCATCTGACTCAGGTCATGATCTCACAGCTCATGAGTTCGAGCCCTGCATCAGGCTTCGAGCTGACAGAGCAGAGCGTGTGGGCTTCTCTCTCCCTCTCTCTGCCCCTCCCCACCAGATAAATTAAAAAAACTTTAAACCTTTTTTTTTTTAAATGTTTTATTTATTTCTAGGAGAGAGAGAGAGAGACAGCGTGAGCAGGGGAGGGTCAGAGAGAGAGGGAGTCACAGACTCTGAAACAGGCTCCAGGCTCTGAGCTGGCAGTCAGCACAGAGCCCGACGCGGGGCTCGAACCCACGAACCGCGAGATCATGACCTAAGCGAAAGTCAGACGCTTAACCGACTAAGCCACCCAGGCGCCCCAAATTAAAAAAACTTTAAAAAAATCCCAAAAAACAAAGAGACATGCTTAAGACTGAAGGAGGAAAGGAATGCATAAAATGAAAATGTGTCCCTGCGAAATAATGGACGCTTTTTCCTTTTTTCAAATTTTTCATAAATCTATTGTGGTTTTTGTTTTTTGTTTGTTTATTCGTTTTTAAGTAGGCTTCATGCCCAGTGCTGAGCCCAATGCAGGGCTTGAACCCACGACTCTGCGATCAAGATCTAAGCTGAGATCGAGAGTCCGACTCCTAACCGACTGAGCCACCCAGGCCCCCCAAACCCATTGTCTTCATAGTTCAAAATTACAATAAGGTCATCAGCACAGTCCCTCAATTACTCTATCAGCTCAGAGTTAGAAAATTCTGCCTTTCTAGATAAGAGTATTATATTACTTCAGGGTTAACTCAGGCTTCACCCATCTGTAGGGTCTTAGAATGAAACACTGAAGGTTTAGGATGTAGGGGAACATCTATTGGTTCTGACAGCCCAGCACTATCTCTTGCCCTTGGGGAGCCTCCCTTCCCTACCCTATACCCCCAGAGGTGTTGATGAGGCTATCAATTACAGTATTCTACCCTCTCCTCCAAAAACAAAAACAAACAAACAAACAAAAAAAACCCCACAAAAAACAAAAAACAACAATAACAAAAAACCAGGGGAATCCAAGCTGGAATAGTCAAGTACTACATTCTCTTGACTACTGGCCATGAAGCAGGATGTGTCCCAAGCCGAGCCAGTTGGAGTCCTTCCCCAAAACCTTCCAAATTGGTAATGAAGGGAAGCTCTCTTTCCTATTGGATCAAGAGCTATAAGGATATGACCTCAACAATGTTAGTATCACCTTCCACGCACCATGTAGAAAATTCTGAAAGAATGAGGCAATGTTACAAGAGAGAAAGGGACCAATATTTGGAAGGAGGGAAGAGGAAGGGGTGAGAGAAGAGAGATCTGTAACACAGTGTTCCACGATTTCACTGCACTTGACCAGCTCTACGCACACCATCTCACACTCAGTCGGTCCCCCAATCAGCCTGTCCTCCAGAGCGCCCCCCTTGAGTAACTGGCACCATTTCACCCAGTTGCTTGCACCAGAAGCTCCCAAGTATCCTTGACACACTTTCCCCTTTGTCCCTCGTATCCAGTCCATGTTGTTTCCACCCCCAAACCATGTCTTGAATCTCCCTACCTGCCACCATCTCTATTTCTTCAGCCCAGTTTAACCCACCATCAGCTCTCAACGTGACTCCAACAATAACTTCCAAGTACTCTCACATTCAGGCTTTCCCTACCATCCCCAATCCATTGTCCTTCTTCAAATGTACCGTTCTTGCCAGTCAGTTCTCTGCCACTCTAGAATTTCTCTTTATCTTCATGATGAAGTTCAGAATCTTTAGCATGGCGACAAGGCCCTGCATGATCTGGCTCCAGCCTGATCTTGAACCCCTTTTGCTAAAGGGGCTCCTGCCACCCCTAGGCCTTCTCCCTGTTCCTTGATCATAGGGTACTTCTGAGTGTGCAGTTCTTCCTTGCCTCAGTGGCCCTTCTCCACTTCCCCCTTCTTCACCTGACTTTGGTCTTCCTTAAAGAGGCTTTGCTTGACCTACACTGGCCCCGGTTATGGGACCATACATTACGGCACGGTCATAAATTCCAAGATGGAAGGTAAAATCATTCGTCTTTTGCTTTGGTCCCAACATTTTTCATCCCGTTTACATCTGGTGCAGCTCAGACTTTTCTGGGCACCGGGAGTGACAGGGACGCTAAGCCCACAGCAGACAAAGAGGGTCCCAGTCACGCACCGTTCCTCCTGTGTTTCACGTTGCCAGATAACCTGTCATCTGATTTTACTTTGGAGATAATAAGGAATTATTAAACACAATGATGAAAGCATTTTGTAGATCAGTGACTATACATACTTTGGGTCACGAGTGGGCTCTGTGCAGCTGTGAACACCTGGCTGGCTGCTAACCTGTCCCCAGGGTGCTGGCTTCGGCTTGAATAGATCCTCTGGTCACTCAACCCTGTTTGTACCTCACTTGGGAACAACAGAAAGAAATCATTATTCATTTCTTTGGCTGAGCGCTTTGGTGGGCCGACCTGTCTCGCAAGTGTATTTTGTCTGTGCAGAAACATTCTAATCACCTAGTCAAGTCAAACCAACAAATAAACTTCAGTTTGGATCCAAATACTCAGCGTGTTAGCCTTTAAGCATCTAACTTAAAGGTGATCTGTTGATCACCTTTTATTTTTTTCCTGCTGTTTATCCTCCAATTAAGTATAAAAAATTACCATTCCTAAAAGCAACTGGCTTCTCTGTCTGGGAATAAACAATAAAACAGCACTTTTCCCCCAGGACATACCAATGTGTCCCCTATCTGTCGACAACGTCATGTTACCAGCGTATCAGGGTAAGAAGGAAGACCCTTCCTGACAGCACTTCCTTCCTCGCCCTCCTGGGCTACAGAATTCCCAGTAGTTTGTTGCCTTAGACAAGTGGAGGGGCCTCTCACTGTTAAATATCTGTAGCTTTGCTCCTGACCTTCACGGTCATAAGAGTGGGCAGTTTCAAACCCATCTGAGACCTCGAACCCTCCTGTTTTTCAGCCAGGGGTCTCCTTCCGTCCTTTGCTATTTGTGACACTGAAGCCTGGCTTTGTGGTAATGTGACCGACACTTAGATTGTGCCTTTTGGTCTGGCAGAGATTGCTCAATCTAAATGAACTTCGTGGTTTATGTTTTCTCCCCCTCCCCTCACTTTTCTTCATTACTGTTCTTCCGGGAAATTACTTCCCGTCAGCAGTATTTG